ATTTCAGGGCAAACAGACCAGGGAAGATGCACATTGTTTGAGTATGTGATGTGGAACACGCTATTAGAGGGCCTGGCCACATACAGGGCAGTTTTCTGAGTGGGTTGTATGTGGGCCTTAGTTTGTAGTATATAATAATGCACAGGTAAGACAAGAAAGTTTTAGGACTGAATTAGCAGATGAGCTTTTTGTAAGCCTATCTCTTTTCAAACATAAAACTGAATTTTAGTAAGTCCTCCCAGACCCTTCCCTTCTTCCTGTGCTGCCCCAAAATAAGTATGGTTAAGCTGATGTCTGACCAAGACAGGTAAAGATGTATGGAGTAAGGAACTGGGAGAAAAGGGGTGTCTTCTACCAGTCGTGCTGACTTCCACAGTGGATACTTAAATGTTACATTTGTGGCAGACTGACTCTCTACTTACATAAGAGCATATTTTACTCTGGCAGAGTTTGTCCTGCTAGGTGTCTTCTGAGGAATATTTTACTTATTTTGCAAACTTTTATTTATGTATTTTTACATGGAAAAAAATTGCACATTAAGATCTACTTACATTGCAGTGCATCTGTTTAAATAAGAGAACATGGTGTTCATTCTATGTCAGTTACTATTTATATTCCTCTCTTTTTCAGTTCTTTCTGTTTCAGCTTCTCTAAGTTTTTATTAATTGTGAGGCTTTTTAGTTGGAATTTAAGTGGCTTGTATTGTTATACCTCAAGCTTTCTTTTTGAATTATCATCTTTGCTTCAGAGCTGTTCATTTTTGCTCCTTCAATTATTGAATAGAATGTAAAATAAACTAATACTTATAGAATCTGATTCAGAATAGTCAAAATATTGGATTTCTGTAAAACAATGCAGAAAAGGAATTCATATACAATAGGCTGAAATACATAAAAAGAAAATGATTAAACCATGTCTCACTTATCATAGATCTTTTTAATAGGAGCAAAATCTGTGCCATTAGTTCCAGACCAACGTATTTCCCATTCACAATGCTTTAGTGCATAACTTATAAATCTGTCCTCATCATCCTATATTACTTTTTCAAAGCAAGACTAACATCAAGCAAGACAGGATGAATGAAAGTCAATGAAGGTCGACTAGACAATCCAATTACTAAAGAATCTTGGAAGAACAGTACTGTGATCTATAAAAGAATTGGGTGTGAATTTCTGTATCTTTGTTGACAAGGGTCATTTCTGTAGAACTACGGTATATTTTCTATGGTAATCTGTTTTTAGATTATTCTAGTCTAATCTGTTTGTATAGTAAGTCTGAATGTCCGTTGTTTATACTCTAAAATATTTGTTAGTTTGCAGAAGCCATATTTATAATACACATTTCATGTACCTGTTCTGTCTCCTGAGTGGTGAAGAGGCCTTTGAGGAAAATGCAACATACAGTTACATATTGCATGGTGAAGAGACAGTGTTAAGATTGCATAATCATTGCATACGTGCCATTGCTAATTTTCCATGCATTTTTTTTATCAGTCACTTATCATTTTTTATCAGTCAATTATCATTTTTTTTCATTCTGCAGAACAGGCCATCTCTTGGGCACGTAAAACACATCCGTACAACAAAAGAGGTTACTATTTCTGGCACCTACTTATAGTAGAAATAGTGAGCTGGCCTGCATGTTTGAGTTTAAATATAAAAATTCAAGTATGTTTATAAGCCATCTGTGCTAGACACTGCAGATGATAAAATAAAAGAAAGTCTAATAAAGCAGAAGAATGGTTTTCAGTCTTAGAAACTTACTTGAGCTTTAAATTTAGCTTTGTTGCTTCTGTTTCAGATCTGTCTGAAATTTATCTACTTTTTTCCTCCCTTCTATAAATAAGTCTAATGACAAATAATACTTCTACATACAAGCCTTGTTTTATTATGTTTTTCAAGCCATATATAAATAAGGACAGATAGGATTCAGTTATCAAGTATTCTCACTGAAGACTAGGTAATTGTACTTGACTATAATGTTACACATATGTTTATAAATAAATTAAAAACTATTACATGTTTCTACTCTCCCTCACCCCTGCAAAAGGAGATCAAAAAGACCTAATACAAATTTTACGTTTTAACCTTTCATCAGATATTTAGTTTACAGGTGTTTTGATCTGGTATTTCTGTACATAGTATCTTATATTCATTTTATGAGAAACCATTCTTGTGAAATTGCAAGTGTGTGTGTGTGTGTATGGATATATAGAAGTATATATGTAGATCTCCCTTCAACTAATACAATCACAGGAGAGTGTGGTCATGTGTTGAGTAGCTAATCAAACAGAGTATTGAGTGGCCTTCATTACAGGCTGCCCGGGTGGGAACCATGTTATTAAAATATCAATTGCTATAAATTACATAGGGTCTGAAAAAAGAAGTAATATATTCCTAGACACTGGTATAGTAAAGAATGCTTACTGTGGGATTACAGTGCTAATTGAGAAGATTTTTACAATGTTTCCCAGTAAACTCCAAGTCAGCTTCTGCAGGTGGTGGAGTTTTGCTGGCTGACAGCAAAGGATGGGATCTGTTATTGAACTGAGCTTAAAGCCAGCAACAGGTTCAGTGTACTGCTATTTTATTTATAAGTCAAGATTTAAGAAGAGAAATTGCTGTTTGCAGTAGCAAAATGCCTGTCTAAAGTGGTGATTTCTACCACAGTAATTGTAAAGTGTATTCAGGTAATGTCACGCTACTTCTGACAGATCGTAAATAATTTTTCTAAACCTGGAAAATCATGAGGCTTGCATGGCATACAAAAGTAAGGAGGAATCTTTTTCTGACTAGATGCTGCTTATCTAACAAGCACTGAACAGGTTCACTGCTCATCTGTAAACTATTTAATATGTGTAGAAATAATCTACTGTTATTAACTTTTATGAAAACTATTTTTTCACAAATTTTGTTTAGAATGCATAAAATTCCATAGTATGAACAGAAGATATTTTAAGACGTAGTAATTTTATTATTTGCATTCAAAACATCATTTTTTAAAGTCTCCATGCACCAAAATGTCAGCTCTGTGTAAGAAATTATTTGTATTTTAAAGTTTTAAGCTCTGTAATGAATTTGTGATGTTAGCATTTATGCTATTGATTTTTCAGTACTGTGTTTTCTTGCTAGCTAGGGCAAACCTGTCTGCAATGGAGAATCATATTCTAATCCTCTGTGGAGAGAGGAGGGTAAGATTGTAACAGGATCCTTCTCTTAGATCATTAGCTGAAACAGAGGGTTTAGTTTACCTTCTACAGAGAAGATAACCCCTGCCCTCCCTCCCCCCCCGCAGTCCTGGTAGAATGCTAAATAGTGCAAATCTGTAAGTCTTGGACTTCTGATAGTATTTGTCAAAGATTTTTAGTAGTCAATATCTTAAAATTCCGAAATAGTTGGTGTGGTTGTCCTCAGCTGAGAGAATTGTGCAAAAATAAAAATGTAAGATCGTATCAGATCAAAATCAAAGAAGAAGTTTCTTACTACGTTGGGGTTTTTTGTTAAAGTAGGCAGACCCTGAAACATGGGTTGGGTCTACGCAGATGTGACGTGACCACTACCCAGTTTGTGATTGAATCTGTTTAGCTGACCCTTTCCCCCTTTCTTTTGGCCTGTTTTCAGTTTCACTGGCTTCTAAATACACAGTCCTGAAAGACTTGCCTTTTATTTGGCAGATGTGCAACAATAAAAATGTTTGCTCACTGAGAAACTGTTGCTTTGAGAAAGCTGCATTAGACCTATAACCATATTCAGTAACCCCAAACCAATACAGCTTACATGTGATGTTGTGCCTATAATCTTGTTGGCCTGCCTTATCTCTGGGCTATCTTTTCAGAAATTGATTTGCTGGTCTTCACCAAGGTCACCATATGCTGCCAGCATGCAGTTAAGTGACATGTTAGTCAGGCAAGTTGGAACTGTGGATAAAGGTGATCCACAGCACAGC